AAGGAGCCTTTGAAAAAACTCCCTCAACCCTAAACCCTAATCCCTAAACCCTAAACCCTAATCCCTTAAAGGAAAGCTCAAAGGAGTCGTGGGCTCCTACAACCGAGGTCCAAGCCGCTGTAGTTTCGAGCCCTTCGGCGCCCTCACATTTGCTGGACCTCACCAGCCAGCAGGTGAGGATCTCTCAGGGCTCAGGGTTTAGGTTAGAAGCTGCCCCCACCCTGTAATAGTGGTATAATAGGAATATAGTAGGGCCCTAATATAATCCTATATACTCTTTATAGTCACTATTACAGGGTGGGGGCCCCTTCTCAGGTTTAGGGCTTAGGGTAGGTTGTGGTTTTCAAAATCAGAGTCCTTTTTTGGGTCCCTAATATAATACGGCACCTCATATTTAGGGTTCCCCAAAAAGGGACCATAGTTTTGACAACTACCCAGGTGGATCTCTCCGGGCTCTAGGCTCCGTTAAGAGGGGGTTTTCCGAAACTAGGGGACCCTAATATAGTATCCTAAATAGTAGGATCCTTCTCATAAGGACCCCCAAGTATGGTACCCGTAATTTTCGGAAACTCTTAAGAGGGCAAGGCGTCCAGAAGGGTTTAAATGTGACAGGCTGCAGGGGTTTAGGCTTTGTTGCTCCTTGAAGGGTTCCTTTAAGGGTAGTATGACAGCTCAAGGTTTGGGCTTGACGGCTTGATAGGGGATCGCAGGTCTCGATTTTGAAGGTTCTTGGCTTTCCGGTTTAGAATTGTTGGTTTCGATTTGTCTGAGGGTTCACGACTTGGGGTTCCTTCTTGCTTCCATTCAGTTTGGGAAGCTGAGGCTTGGTGATCACTTTACCAGTGCATACAGTTGGCTTATCAGATGGGTGAGTATGTGTAGGCTCTACCCTATGTTCCAGGATAGCCACTGACACCCTGCCCGAGTCGTCCACGGGGCTCCTCCTACTAGGCCCTCCACCCTGAACCCGAACCCCGGAACCCCATGGAGGATCAAGGGTTTAGGGTTTAGGGTTTAAGGGTTTAGGGTTTAGGGTTGAGGGGTTTAGGGTTGATGGTTGAGGGGTTTAGGGTTTAGGGTTTAGGGTTTAGGGCTTTCGGGTTTAGGGTTTAGGGTTTAGGGCTTTCGGGTTTACCTGGACCCCCCAACTAGCCTCTGCTATACCCCAATACCCCAATTACCCACTATCAAGAACCATAAGGGCTGTACTAAGGGCCGTTGGGGTTTTGCTGGTAGGGTTTATAGGCTTATAAGTATTATAGTAGCAGGGGCCCCAAAACCCTATTCTAATTATTTAGGCCCCTACAGTGAGGCTGCAGAGTTTTAGGGGGGTTGGGGCTCAAGGCTTACTTGGAGGATCATGGGGCTTAGTAAGTATGGTTATAAGTACCTTAAGTGGGGTTATAAGTAGTTATAAACATATTTACCTTGATTATAACCCCAGCTACTAAGTCCCATGATCCTCTAAGTAGGCCCTAAACCCTAAACCCTTAGGCTCTAAAGCCCGGGCCTCAGACCCCAAAAAACAGGGTCGACTTTAGTTCTGCGGCAGGCGATGCTGATTTCAAAGCTTTCCAAGGAAGCCAGTCTGATTCGGCGCCATGGCGGTTCTAGTGGTGCGGGGACGGGGGTATGGTTTAGGGTTTAGGGTGGAGGGGTGAGTTCTGTTTCTCAGGGTGCCCTATCCAGGTAGTTTGGGGCCAAAGCGTATAGTATTTAGGCACATGGACCCTCAGGGCTTTATAAGGGACCTTAAAAAAGAAGGGACTTTGAACTGCAGGTAATTTATGTGGAGCTTTGGACATATCGGGCTCCCAGAAGAAGATCTCATCGGTTCTAAGGTTAGGTTCTTCAGGGGTTAGGGCTGAGGAACCAACATTTTTTTAGGGTCCGTATGACTTCCACATCAGGTTTCATAACAAGAACCTACAAACAACTAGGTTCTGGTAGGTCAAGGTAGGGTTTAGTCTAGGCAGAGACTGTTGAGATAACTGCCGCCTTGCGCCGCCGAGCTGAGTTGGCGGCAGAGAGTCTGGTCATGCAACGGCAGCCAGTGGGATTTCTGCAGCTGGACGAGCCGGGCGTATGTTCCCGGTGCCGATATCGATCGGGATGCTTAGACTGCTGCTTGTTCAAAGCCCAACGTTATTACCTCCGAATGGAGGCATTGCGCAGTGGCAGGCCGATGCCCGAAGAGTGGTGAGGCATGCCATGTTTTCCAGGAAGGGCACATGCAGCGGGCCATGCAAAAAAGCGGATTTCATTTCCGAGAAAGCATGAAAGCTAATCGCAGGCCCTATAATCAAGGGGCCAAGATTGGAGAGGCCTATAATAATTTAACCCTTATGCCCTAAACCCCACAGCCTAAACCCTAAACCTTGTAAGCATGGCAAGTGCCGGAGATGAGGAGATTTCGGGGTGTTGAGTTGGAAGTTGCATGCAGAAGCATCTAGAGTTGCGGACAGAGTTCTTTCGGCTTCCTTACTATGTTCATAGTTTTTTTCCCCCAAGACCTTCTTCTGAGGTCTCAAGGCCCCTACCCTGAACCTTGAAAGCTACCCCTTGAAAGAACCGCTTGAAAGAGGACAAGACGCCCTTTAAATGTAGTCTTGCCCCCTTTAAAAGTAGTCTTCGAAGCACTTTTTGAAATTTTAGATCTCCAGACGGTGTTGGTTTTCTGCAAAAAACGATCCTTATTTGGGTGCTGCCTTTAAAGTAGTACAGATTGGGGCCGGAGCCGCCCGCAGGCCGCCTTTAATCGTAGGGGGATTATTAATCCTAGGTCAACATTAATAATGAGGATCCCAACATAAGGTAACCCCAAACTCAAAGCCCTTTTTATTGATCCCTCTAGAACCCTTAAGGCAACGCTTAAAGCTTTCAGGAACCCTAGGACCCCCAAAAAAGTACCCCCCCAATTTTCGTAAACTCGCAGGTATGGAGTCCAGGCGGATGAGCATCTGGGCAGCACCGCCTGTCTCCCATCGAATGTCTAGGCAGGAGCTCGGGGATCATGTAGGGGCCTTTATAATTGCTCAGTAACTGAGTGGATACGCTTTACACGTTTTGGGAGAATATTACCCACTGCCCACTATGGAACTGAAAGTGTACACACTTTGTGGGCTTATGAACTCAGCAGCTAAGATTACCTGTGCTCTTTTTTGGGGGGTTCCTTTCTTCCCCTATTCAATGATTACGGCCCCTATGTTCGTGCTCCCGGATCAGGGTTTCTGGGTCCAGGGTGTGTAATGTAGGGGCCTTAATAATTACCTGTGCTATTTTGGGGGTTCCTTATTTTAAATATACTATAGTGGTCGTGGTATTAAGGCCCCTATAGTAGAGTTCAGGATCTCCGGCGTAGGGTTTTTGTTGGCGAGTTGGGCTTTAGGTACAGTGCCTTGATGGTCAGTGAGACTTCCGCCATCCAACGGCTTCTATAATGGGTTCCATGCGTGTCCGAAGGACCCAAGAACTAGATTCAATGGATGTTTGAGTGCACATACTAGTAATGTAGGATATTTGGCAGAGTGGATGAACACTCTACTTGGGGTTTACGGTTTAGGGTTCCCTAAACCCGGCCCTCAACCTCGGATTTACTTGAAGCCACCCAGGCACTGGGAAGCACTGAATGCCTCACGCGATCTCTTCGTGGCTACACATCAGAAGCTGCTGATGCCTGGCGGCAAACCCAAAGGGTCCAAAGTACCCATATAGTAGAATGTAGGGTTCTATATTAGGAACCCCCATAATGATTTGGGCAAGGGTCCTAGGTACTGTTGTGGGCTGCGACGCGGTAAGGGTCCCTGATGGAGGGCTCCCGTTGTGTGCTAATGACTATTATGGTGGCGGGTTCAAGGTTTCTGGTTCGCTGGCAAGGAAGACACTGCAATTATGTGAAATTGGATTGTAGGTAAACCCTTATCTAAGTTCTGAAGACATGTGGAGTATGGTTTCTAGTATAAGAGGAGGGGTCTTGACGGCCAGGAAACTGACAACGCGACGACGTTGCGACGCCGGCACGGCGACGATGCGACAACGGTCCGGCGGCGGTGTGACGACGACACAGCGACAACGCGACGACGATGCGACAACGATGCCACGACGGTGCGACGACAATGCGACGACGGCGCGACGAGCATGAGACGATGCTGCGCGAAATGGACACGACAGCGACGGCAACGAAGACAACGACCTGACCACCTTGCGACGACACGCCGACGATGCGAAGACGCTTTGGCAACGCTTATTTGGGCTTCATGACGGATGTGCGGCGGAGGCGCGACGGCAGTGCGACGGACGCGCCATAGACGGACGACCGAAGTGCGTCCGTCGCGCGTCTGTTGTGCAGCCGCTGCGCCAGTGTCGTCTGTCCGGGTCCATCCGTCATGGCCGAAATAAGGCGTATTTCGGCCTTATGACGGATGGACGGTGGGCGCGGGACGGGCATGCAGACGACGGATGCGCGACGGTCGCCCGTCCGCCGCGCGTCCGTCGTCTGTCCGCCGCGCAGCCGTCATAAGGCCGAAATAAGGCTTATTTCGGCCTTATGACGGATGGACGGCGGGAGCGCGGCGGACAGACGACGGATACGTAACGGATGTGTGGCGGCCCGCCGTGCGTCCGCTGCACCTCCGTCGCGCATCCGTCATCTGTCCGCCGCGCAGCCGCCGCGCGTCCGTCATAAGGCCGAAATGAGCCTTATATCGGCCTTATATGACGGATGGACGGCGGCTGCGCGGCGGACAGACGACGGATGCGCGACGGTCGCCCGTCCGCCGCGCGTCCGTCGTCTGTCCGCCGCGCAGACGCCGCGCAGCCGTCATAAGGCCGAAATAAGGCTTATTTCGGCCTTATGACGGATGGACGGCGGGACAGACGACGGATGCGTGACGGATGTGCGGCCCGCCGCACCTCCGTCGCGCATGCGTGATCTGTCCGCCGCGCAGCCGCCGTGCGTCCGTCATAAGGCCGACAAAAGCCTTAATTCGGCCTTATGACGGATGGACGGCGGGCGCGCGACGGACAGACAACGGATGCGTAACGGATGGTGCGGCCCGCCGCGCGTCCGCCGCACCTCCGTCGCGCATCCGTCATCTGTCCGCCGCGCAGCCGCCGCGCGTCCGTCATAAGGCCGAAATAAAGCTTATTTCGGCCTTATGACGGCTGGACGGCCGGCGTGCGACGGACAGACGACGCTCGCGTGGCGGATGCACGACAGGCGCGCGACGACGTGGTCGTCGCTCCGTCGTCGTCGTGTCGTTGTAACGTCGTCGTCGCATCGTTGTCCGTGTCCTGTCGTCGTCGCGTCGTGGTGCTGTCGTCGTCGCGTTGCCGTCCTGTCGTCGTCCACCCGTCGTCGTGGCATCGTCCACCCGTCGTCGTGGCATCGTCCACCCGTCGTCATGGCCTTGTTCCTTTGTCGTCAGCTGCCAAAGTCAATGGCGTCAGCTTTTTGCTTAATGACTAACACATACCTTTAGAACTTAGATAAGTAAACCCTAAACCCTAAACCCTTCTAAAAATGCAGGTGGTTGAGGGGTTCAGCGAGGCTCAAACTCCCCAAAGCAACTCTCAGCCTGAATCTTTGGGGTTTTGAAGGCTCGAGGATATGGGCTTGCTCAGTATTTCAAGACATGCTTTAAACTACAGTGAAGCAGTTGGGAGGTTTAGGGTTTTTGGTTTAGGGGTTTAAGTTTGGGAGTTTAGGGTTTAGGGGGTTTAGGTTTAGAGTTTTAGGGTTTAAGGCAGCAAATCCCAGCCCGCAGGTAACATGACCAAATACCCTGAAGCCTTCACGGGCCAAGCCCTGAGAGCGCAAACCCAAGAAGCACCAAGCCCCAAAGCCACTAAAGTCCAGACTTCAAGCCCCGAACACAACAACCTCTGAACACCGAGACCCTAATCAAACTGAAACAGCCTAGAACATAAGGCCTCAAGCCCTGCGACAAAACCTAGGCTGGGCAGCCCGGCGACCAACACTACCCCAGCACTCCGGGAGTTGTCGGAGATCTGCATCATCTGGCGAATGCGAGAGGTTGAGGACTTGTGACTTGGCCCCGCTCATTTTGGGTTTAAGAGTTTAGGGTTAGGAGTTTAAGGGTTTAGGGTTAGGAGTCTAGGGCTGATACTTGACACGATTTCATATAGAGTATAGAGTTCTGAGTAGTTAGTCGCATATGTGCTCTTGGGTGTTCCCAGGGCTTTGCAGCGGCCTTATACGGGTTTGGGAGCCAGTACTGAGTGTCAGTATCTCGTATCCCCTCAGACCCCATATCAGACTAGACTATTCCTGTACCTCACAATTGCCACCTCTCTTGTTCAAGTTTTATGCTCATCGACCACTTAGGGATATGTAGCCGGAACCGACCAGAAAGCCCTCTCCTAGCAAGACCACAACCTACCTGTAAACTTTATGGCGCTTGGGATTACGGTAGCACATTAATTACATCCCCCCACGAATCAACCCTAACCCCTGAGCCCTGAACCCCAAACCCCGAACCCTAAACCCTAAACCCCACGAAACTCGAATCCTCAATCCCACGCCCAGAAGAGTCTCCTTAAACCCTAAACCCTGAGCCCTAAACCCTAAACCCCCTAAACCCCAAACCCTGAGCCCTAAACCCTAAACCCCCTAAACCCTAAACCCCCTAAACCCTAAAACCCTAAAGCCCATCCCCTAAGCATGTCCAAGGTACTCGCAGCTGCAGGATGCCGCCGTGTCTGTGGCCTCTGGAAGTCTCCCGGACGTGTTTTTGTTTTATTTAGGGTTTAGGGTTTAGGGTTTAGGGTTTAGGGGTTTAGGGTTTAGGGTTTTGGGGGTTCCTTTACAGAGATCTATAGGGTTGTATACAAGGGATCTATAGGGTTTTGGGTTTAGTGTTTGGGAGATTAAGGCTCCTTTCAAAGATCTGATAACATATCGGAGTTTCCGAATATGCGGGGTACCTCTAAAAGGGTCTATAAAGGGTTCCTATAAGGGATCTACAAGGTTTAGGGTTCGGGAGTTTCCGAAAATGAGGGTGCCTTATTTGGGTGTCCTTACCTTCAGGATCCTACCATGTAGGGTACGTATTATATTGGGGCCCCCCGTTTTCCGAAACTCCCACATCGGTTCATGTGTTTGTTTTTTTTTGGTGGTGTTACTTGGAGGCCCTCTTTTTGTTTTTAATAATAAGTCGGCTAAGAAGTCCCTCAAAGTGGGCTAGAACTGTAGAACTGTTGGTACCCTCCTTGCAAACCCCACTTATAGCTACCGATGAACCTCCAAGTAGACAAGGAATCAGATCGCTGGGTTGTGTACGGTTCTTGCAGGGCGCTCATCGTTCGTGTAAGATCATGAAAACCCTAAACCCCTAAACCCTAAGCCTTGAAACCCTAAACCCTAAAACCCTAAATCCTAGTTTTGAAGTTGATAAGTTCAGGTGCCTTTTCGGCAGTCAGCAAGGTTGGAATACTGGTAATCGGATGTGTCTATGCCTTTCCGGGCTGAAGGGTCTGATTTGAGGGTTCGAAGGGGTTATATAGTTTACAAGCTGCCCCCACCCTGTAATAGTGACTATAAGGATTATTTTAGGGCCCTATATACAGGGTGGGGGCAGCTTCTAAGTTATAGTGCCTTTGTGCGATGTAGGGTTTCTGAGTCAAAGGTTCTTTTTTGCTGGGGTCTCAGGTCTTCCTAAACTGCATGCTTCCCGCCCTGCCCCTCCCTCCCCTCCCCTGAACCCCGAGAGCACAACACGCCAACAGTCCAACCGAACCTGGCCCTCCTGCAAACCCTAAAGGGCTCCCTAAAGGGATCTAGAGGGTTCCTTAAAGGGATCTATAGGGTTTAGGGTTTAGGGTCTACTTAGAGGATCGTGGAACCATTTAACACACCCTAAGCCTGAACAGAAGCCCTAAACCTTAAAGCTAAACCGTACGCGCTAAACCCTAAACCCCAAACCTAAACCCTGCACCCTAAACCCTAAACCTAAACCCTACACCCTAAACCCAAAACCCCTTAAAGATACTGCAGACATGGCCCTTGACCCCTAAATAAACTCTACACCTGTAAAGGTACAGCAGACATGGACGATCTGCATCATCTCAGTCCACTGGCCTTGGCCGCCATGGCATCTGCCACCGACGCGCTGGTGAAAGGCACGGGCGGCGGGTTCCTGGTGGTTCCTTTATTAAGGGATCCTTCAAGCAAGGGTACGTTTAGGGGTTCCCTTAAGGGATCCTTTTTGGGTTCCGTTGATGGTTCCTTTAATTACGGGATCCTTTACGACTCCTTTCAGGGGTCCGTTAAGGGGTGCTTGAAGGGTTCCTTTACGGGTTCCTAAGGGTTCCTGTCCAGGAGCTGAGAAGCAGCACGCTGCAGCTAGTAGCTATGGTACCTACGAAAAGCGAAACTCTTGCCCTTAGGATATAGCTCCCGCGCATTTCGCTTCGCAGAAGTTCTCTTGAAGTCTGAGGTAAGTCTGTTTGTGGGTTCTTCCTTAAACCCTACCCTAAGGCTCCTAAGAGGGTCTCGGGCTTTCTGGGGGAGGGTTTCGGCTTTGCGGGCTAGGGTTTGGGACCTTACTACAAGGGTCCAGGAGCCTTAAGGTAAACCCTAAACCTTCTTAGGTCGAGCAGAGGTACAGTAAGGTACTGCACCAAGCCACCATGGCCAGGCTGATGGCTGATTCCCCAAAAAGGGTTTACGGATTTAGGGTTCAGAAGTCTAAACCCTAATCTCTAAATCCTAATCCCGAAACCCTAATCCCTAATCCCTAAACTTTAATCCCTAAAGCCTATAATCCCTAAACCCTAAACTCCCTAAACCCCCTACCCCCTAAACCCTAAACCAAGGTTTAAGGTTTTAGGGTTAACCCTAAAACGCCGAACCGTAGGGCTGTAGTTCCACTGTCAGACCTCACAGAACATCTATATGGGAGTTTCCGATTTTTTTGGGGGGATACCTTAATTATTTTGGGGTCCTTATAATAAGGATCCTACCTTTTTAGGGTATTATATTAGGGTCCCCGATTTTCGATTCGGAGCTGGAAGCCAAGGGCCGGCAACTTGCGGTCGTCAGGGTGAAAACCTGCGCCCGACGCCGCGACTGTGGCGGAAGGATGTGGATCTGCCTTCCTTGCTTGATCCTCACTGCGCTGCTAACTACTGCTCAGTCAGCCACACGCCGAAAGACATCCTGGGGTTGGCGCCCCGACCCCATTTCCGACGGTGAGTTTTTGGAGCAGCCCACCCTGTGGGTGGGCGACGCACCGGCCGATCCCCCCTCTTTGAGCCCGCACATTGAGGTGATGGTCGACTTCCTCATGACGCCTGTGATTGCCACCGTTTCTTCGAACTTGCGCAATGGAGGATTTCCGGCCCTTTTGAACTACATGGAAATGAACGCCGACGACTTGCCGCCAAAGAACTCCCATATTTATACAGTCTTAGACAGAACCTTTCCACATCGTGGCCATAGTGCCAGAACAGGGTTAGAGAGAGTGAGTGGTACAGCATAATTACATTAATATTGTCAGGGATACTATTCCTAGTCTTACTTATTGAAGCTACTCCTGCTATCTTGGAAGAACAGCCCTTCAAGAGAATCACCTTCAAGGTGTCTGTGAGAATTCCACGAACCCCACGCGCCTTGGCAGTTCTTTCCGAAAGCTTCGCAGTTGCAGAGCTTTGCTGCTGAGGGTTGAGGGTTCACGCGCGGGGTTTCGGCTTCTGTGCTTGAGGACTTTAGAGCTTAAGGGCTTGGAATCTTTCTGGTAAGCTAGTAGCCACCATACAGCTGGAAAACTGGGTCCACACGTTCCAGGGGCTCAGTCGTGGGGTCCTGCTTAAACACACCCTTGCTCATATTGGGACGTGTTAATCTCAGGCGAGGGTATCACTGGGCTGTGCAAGAAGCTTCGCCCTTTGCGTGGCTTTTGCGCTCCTTGCGATGTGAGGCCGCTAGCACGCCAGGCCTTCTTCGAGACACCGAAGACGATGACACGTTTCATATATCCTGGATTTGAAGAGATGTGCGTGATGCGACGCAGCTGCTGCAGCAGGAGCATCTCCAGGAGATGGCAAGGCAGGAGAGCAGCCCCAAAGCTCTGACGACCCGAAACCGGCAACCGTGGCAGAGTTTTTCAGCCGGGGCTGTCGGCATGAAGCCTGCGCTGAGCCGCATATGCTTTCGGTGTGACACTAAGACTTTAGTGCTTTTGTCAACTTGTTGCACTGTTCATTTAAATTAAGTATGTCCAATCGATTTATTAGAAAAAACGTATGTCCATTCATTTATTGTGTTGCTGATGCCCCTTCAGTAGAAACATGGCAGGAAGTTGCATTGGTGGATGCACCGGAAAGCCTAGCCTAAATCCCCAAGCCCCAAAATCCCAAACCCCAAACCCGGCTAGAGCGGCGCCTTAGAACCCTGTCAATCCCTTGACAGGAACCCAGGCACCTGACCCTAAACCCGGCACCTGCAGCAAACGGAGGAAGGAGCTTCACACGCAACCACTCAGCCATAAACCCTAAAGCCAAAACCCTACGTAGAGGATCATGGGACTTGGTAACTAGGGTTAAAGTTCAGGTAGCTATCGTTATAATTACTTATAGCCCCACTCAACGTGCCTATAACCATACTTACCAAGTCCCATGATCGTCCAAGTACCCAAGCCCCAGCAATTCCATCTAAAACCCTGAACCCTATAGTGCCCATGTAGATCCCATTTAAGGAACCCTTGTACTTCCTTTGAACCCTAAGACCCTAAACTCTGAGCCTTAAATCCCTAAACCCTAAAACCCTGAACCCCTTAAACCCCTAAACCCTCACCCGTTTAAGAAGCAGTTTGAAGGAACCCTACCTTAAGGCTGCTGGACCCTCGTAGCGAGATCCCAAACCTTAGCCCCCAAAGCCCAAGCCCTCCCCCAGAAAGCCCAGGAGCCCCTTAGGGTAAACTCTAAACCCCCAACCCAAAACCCTACAAACCCTGCCAGCCCTCAAGCCCAAAACTTGGAAGCCCTAAAGCCTTAAAACCCTTTAGAGCCCTATAAACCCTAAACTCTAAGGATCCTAAACCCTAAACCCTATAGATCCCTGTAAAGGACCCGTCATGGATCCCTTTAAAGGAACCCTAAGACCCTACCCCAAAGCCCCACAAGTTTTTGAGGACGGAGCTCGCGTGGCTGGGATTGCACGAGGAAGCCGCGAGGCTCGGAAAACTGAGCCAGGACCGGGAGCGAAATTAGGGTCTAGGGCTTAAGGTTTAGGGTTTAGGGTTTAGGGGTTTAAGTTTTAGGGTTTAGGGGTTTGAGTTTTAGGGTTTAGGGGTTTAAGGTTTAGGGGTTTAGTGTTTAGGGGTTTAAGTGTTAGGGTTTAGGGGTTTAAGTTTTAGGGTTTAGTAGGGATTTGAGTTTGAGGGTTTAGGGGTTGAAACTTTAAGGTTCAGGGGTTTAAGGTTTAAGGTTTAAGGTTTAGGGTTTAGGGGTTTAGGGTTTAGGGGTTCAAGTGTTAGGGTTTAGGGGTTTAGGGTTTATAGGGGTTTAAGTTTTAGGGTTTAGGGGTTTAAGTTTTAGGGTTTAGGGGTTTGAGTTTTAGGGTTTAGGGGTTTAAGGTTTAGGGTTTAGGGTTTACTTAGGGGTTTAGGGTTAAGGGTTTAAGGTTTGGGTTTGGAATTTTGTGCCTTCGTCGTACCTGTAGCCCAAAAGCCTACCAGTTTAAGGGCTCCTGATGAAAGGTTTCTTTATATACTTGCATAAACTCCTACAACTAGAGTTTGGGCTTAGGGGTTCAGGCTTTAGCGGTGGTCGTTCCATAAGGGCTCTTCAAAGGCTCCATAAAGGTTCAGGGCTCTACAAGAAGGCTCCAAGGGTTCTTTGCGAGGATGTGAAGAGTTCTATGCGGTTTTCAGAATGGTTTTCAGAGTGCGCCCATAAGGGTTTTGCAGGGGTATGCAGGGGTTTGAGAGGTAGGGTCTTCAGGACTGTTTGGGTTACAACCTTATTGCCAGGATGCTGCCTCCGCGTTCATCTTGGCAAGACATGGAAGCGACGCGGACACCAGCGCCCTTGAGACAAAGGAGCCTTGACAAATTAGTTATAGGGTTTAGGATTTAGGGTTTATGGTTTAGAATTTGTGGGTTAAGGGTCAAGGGCTTAGGTATGATTAGATTGACTAATTGTGGTCTGACTGGGTTAGTAGGAGAGTAAATAGCCTGTTTGGGTCTGGGTGGGGTGCTGTACTTTACAGAGTTTGATGATTCCAAACGCTACCTGGTAGCTTTTCTTGGGAAAAGTGAACAGGTAGGTGGTTTGTAGCACAGTTACATCTACCTTTCGAACCTGGCTAACGCAAGTTTCTCCATGTATAGATATCCATGAAGGCTTCAAGTCGGCTTTCGCAGGCTAAGGCTTTGGGCTTCTTACTTCTGTGGCTGTACTTTTTCCGTTCCCGGATACTTCAAACAGTGTCTTTGAACCCAGTGCAGGAACCCCATGCTGTTTATGGAGGCCCCAAGCTATCTTTCTATCGATCTGTCGATCTATCTATCTATCTATCTATGGATGCTTATAGATATGGAACCCGTTACAGCGCTTAGGGAATCGCGTAGACCCCTTGCAAGAAGCCCGATTTCGATGTATACACTAACCCTCTAAAGCCCTCATATATGGTACCTTGTAGATCCCTGTAAAGAAGCCCGAGCCCTAACCTGCCAAGCTCGCCAACGACCGTAGACACAGACGAGCTGGTGAGAGCAACCACAAGCGAAAGGCTACGGCCCTTACCCCTAAACGCAAAGCACTATGGAACAAGAGAGGCCCCATAGAGAGCCCAAAGTCTCCACGTACCTCTTCAAGGGTACCATAAGGGTTCCTTCAAGGGTTCGTTAGGGTTTAGGGGTTTGGGGTCCATGTGTACACCTAGGCCTTCAAGTACCATAATAAGTACTTCAGGGCCAAAGTATATACCATTTGGGATATCGCACAGAAGAAACTCGTAAATGTTCTGTTGAAGCCTTATCAAACAGCCCCCGATTTCTCCCGGACCCCTCAGCCCTAACGGCTAAGAGTCCAAGCATACAACGACTTAGTAATTATATACTTACTCTAAACCTGTATAATTAATAGCCCTTATAGTGACCCTTACAGAGCCCTTTAAAAGGGAACCTTCTTCTAATGGTTACCCCAAGGGTCCAAGTACCCAATAATCATATACTCTCCAAAATCCTGAGCTACATCACTACTATCCTGAAACCGAGTACCCGATTATTAGGTCCTTTGGACCCTTGGGGTTAAGGCCCCTATAGTAGCAACCTTCAAGCTCCCCAGTCCGCGCGAAAGGTGGCGGAGCTTTGGGCCTCCGAACAGCGGCTCATGCTACTTGGATGATCGGGTTTAGAGTTTAGGGTTTAGGGGTTTAGGGTTTAGAGTTTAGGGTTTAGGGCCTAGGGGTTTAGGGTTTAGAGTTTAGGGTTTAGGGGAGGGGGGGTGTAGGGGGCCTTCATGCCCATAACAAGGACCTGATAAGGCCTCTTTAAGGAAGTATAGTTCCCTAACCCCCCTCCCCCCAACCCCTCTAAGGGTCCCTATGATTGGAGGATAAGAGGTTCTACGAGTTCCCTGAGGCCCAGACCTTCCAAAATCCCTTAATTAAGGAATATACCTTACATCATATTAAGAATCCTACCATTATTTTAGGGATATTCCTTGATTAAGGGATTTTGGAAGGTCTGGAGGGTCCATGTACCAAAATAGTAAATGCTTTGGCCTCAAACTTTGGCCTCAAAGTATTCCCTATATAGGTACATTGGGGCCAAAGTATATATATATATATATATATATATACTACTTGGGTACATGGACCCTCGGGGGTTTAAAGTTGTTTAACTTAGGGTCCTTTAGGGTTTCTTTTAGGGTTTTAGGGCTCAGGGTCTTATTGTGCGCCCCAGAAAGTTGGAACATGGATTTAGGATGTGCTAGGATTCCCACTACCTTACGTTTAAGGGGATGAGGATGACGATGTTCCAACTTTCTGGCTTCTACTATAGTAGCTGAGTATTTAAACTTCAACCTTGTGTGTTTATGTAATTAATAATCATACCAACATAACTGAAAACGTTGACCTTCTTTGGGCTAGGGTATACACACAGCGGGCTTGGTCGGTGTGCCTGCGTATTCATTTGGATGGCAGGCAGCTTTGTGTGCGCGCAGCAGCAACGTGGTGCCAGAGGAAGGGGACGGAAGAGATGAGTCTTTGCCTTTCATGCCTCCGAGTGGAGTTCCGACAGCCCCTCCGCCTGTTTCGCAATCGCCTCCTCCGAGACCCTTGGTGAGCTGTCCAGACGAATGTTGTGGCAACGAAGACATGTGCGTTCCATTGCTGAGTTGCTGCACTGACATTCCAGACAGCATGTCGTGCAGCGCAGTGCAGCCCCTAAGGCCAAGTAGCAAGAAGTGTCGCAGAGTTTTTAGAGCTTATGGCCTCAAAGAGTTTTTGGGTGTAGAGTTTAGGGTAGGGTGGTTTTTCTGTTAAGCCTAGGACCCAGAGAAAGCCCTTATTCCCTTTTTTGAGTTCAGGTTCCCTTATAGCACCCTTCAAACCAAAAAGGGCACCCTTTTTATTCCTAGGTCACTCTTAGGTCTAGCAGCCGATGTAAGGTTGCAGGGTGACACCAAAGCGCCCCGAACGAACGAAGGGCTCCTTAAAGGGCTCCTTAAAGGGATCTAGAGGGTTCCTTAAAGGGATCTATATAGGGTTCCTTTAGAGGGATTTATAAGGGTTCCTCTACAGGGATCTATAGGGTTCCTTATAATGGGATCCAAAGGGTTTAGGGTTTAGGACATACTAGCCTCAAGCCGTGCATATCTACGGTGCACTCGAGGAGAATTGGTGGCCTACAGGGAATGAAGACGGGTTTTCGGGTGCTGATCAGCGCAGGGTTAGCGTCCAGGCTACTTCGTAGCCCAAACCCTAAACCCTAAACCCCTAAACCCCTAAACCCCTAAACCCTAAACCCCTAAACCCCTAAACCCTAAACCCCTAAACCCTAAACCCCTAAACCCTACACCCCTAAACCCCTAAACCCTACACCCCTAAACCCCTAAACCTCTAAAACCCTAAACTCTAAACCGTCGTAGCCTCCCTGAACTGCGCAAACATCTCTACTACAAGTCAGTGAATCCTGGGCCCTAGGGTTGATGATCTAAATCCCCTAGGGTTCCCTTTAAAGGGATCTATAGGGGTACCTTTAAGGGGCTCCTTTTAAGGGATCTATAGGGTTTTAGGGTTTAGGGTGATGATATAGATCCTGCATTACCTTAAGGACCTTAAACTATGGGAATGATGGTATATTCCCTATTATGGGTAATGCAGGAATTATATCATCAACAGTACCTCCAACAAGAATCCTGAGTCTTCAGAAACCCCTTGCGAGAATCATAAAACGACAGTGACAATCATTCAATCTGAAACCTTAAACCCTCAAAATGAGCCCAACAACCAAACACACATGTACGCCCCAAATCTTCATAACATGCTACGTTAGAGTCCTCAAACAGTAGAGGCCTAAACCCTGAACCCTTGTGTCCCCGTCAAGAAACTCTGCAGAAAGAGCTAGGGGCCTTGTTTGCGAACGGAGCGCCCCCTTACCTTAAAGTCTTAAAGCCTGAAATCCCTAAGATCCCAGAACCCAAGTGTTTAGGGTTTTGGGACACACCGCAAACCCTGAGCCATGAACTCGTGTGCTCAAACAAAATCTGACGATCTGCCTGTTTGAGAGTTGCGGTTAATCCTTCAAGGGTGGCTACAAAGGGTTCCTTGATGGGTTCCTTTAAAGGTTCCTTTCAGGGATCCTTTAAGTGTGGCTATAAGGGTTCCTTTATGGATTCCGTTAAAGCTCACGGGTTCCAATGGAACGTCTTTCAGGCGCCTATTTGAAGTCCACTCGCGCCTGGCGTGGCAACTGAAGTCAGCATCAAGCCTTCTATGGATTAGGTCTAAACTCCCTAAACCCTAAATCCCTAAACCTTCAAAACCTACGGGATCCCTTTAAAGGACCCCTAAAGGATCCTTGTTAAGGACCCCTAAAGGATCCCTTAAAGGATCCTTTTTAAGGACCCCTAAAAGATCCTTTATAAGGACCCCTAAAAGATCCCTTAAAGGATCCTTTAGAGGTGCCCTCAAACCCGAAAGCCCCGAGGTTTGGCTCCTGGAGCCCAAGCGTAGCGGCACCGCCGAGTCAGGCGCTGCTGGAGGAGGCCAGGTTTCTAGACACGCCTATATATAATGTATCTATATATATATATATACACACATACTATATATCAAAGAAGTGTATATACATATGCACACATATAGATATCGATATTTTGGTGATTTCTCTGTGGGTATAGTTCTTTGAATTGGAGCCCCTTCTAATTAGTGTCCATTTATAAGGGTGCCGCACCACGTTAACGACTTCAAAAGGGACCCTTATATAAAGAAAACCTCCTGGCGCTTCGTCCGGTTTTGGCGCCACGAACGGGTTGTGTCTCGAACTAGGCCTCCCGGTGGGCCCTTATTCCGTTTTTGTAGTCCTTGGTTCCTTATAAAGTTATCCAATACCAAAAGCGGAGCCTTTTTATTCCTAGGTTACTGGGCGTCCTAGTGAATCTTGTGCTTGTGGGGCGTGGTTTTTTGTTTACTTTCTAGCCTCATGCAAGGGCTTCGTGAGAAGCCACAACCCAGACCTTCCAAAATCCTTTAATTAAGGAGTATACCTTAAGTCAGATTAAGGATCCTACTATTCATTTACAGTAAGGGATATTCCTTTATGAAGGGAGTTTGGAAGGTCTGGGAACATGTCGGGCTCAGCTTCGAACATGTTGCAGACGTTTGAACGATTTGGGGTTTGGGGATAGGATGAATAGCAAGAGCATTCCCTCGTATTCGTATGTAATTACAGCAGAATGTCCCTAACGTCCCACTCCCTCATTGTTCAATCGCACAGACAGAGCCACATGCAACTCCCACCGGCCCTTATCATAGTCAGAAACTTCACACCCATTTTTATCATTCAGACCTCCATCTGAGGAAGCTGTTGCAGCAAGGTGTTTTTGTCCATCAGTCAGAGTTGGTACAATACGGTTGCATTCGGGTTTAAGAGGCCTCCTTGAAGGGCTCCTCAAATGGCTCGATATTCACATGTTGTTTTTCCCCGAACAGCCTGGTAACACTGTGGGTCGGGTTTACGTCGGGTGTAAGTGTAAGGATAATTGTAACGCCTTTTTGCCGGGTCGTCGTGTTTTCCATGTGGATATCTAGGGATACGTCAGGGTTGTTCTCTGAAGATCACTGCGTTACTTGCACCTCAAACAGCCCGAGTCGGGCTACCACATACAGACACGTATACAGTATACTGAAAAAGCTTGTATCCAGTTATGCTCGCAACAATACTCAGACCCTAGCCTTTCCTTTCATTCCTCCTTTAAAGGAACCCTAAACCCTAAACCCTAAACTATAAACCCTAAACCCTAAACTATTCCTCCTTTAAAGGAACCCTGGACCATAAACTAAACTAAGGGGTCGAGCCTTTGGCCGGGTCTTGTGTGGAGGTGATCACCACGGTGAGGCCTGCTGTGGCCTCTTTCCAGGAGGCTCATTCGATGGAAGTTGGGTTTAGGGCTTTAGGGTTTTAGGGTTTAGGGCTTTAGGGTTTTAGGGTTTAGGGTTTTAGGGTTTAGGGCTTAGGGTTTTAGGGTTTTACAGTTTAGGGTTTAGGATTCAATGAGTTCTTTTTAGGGGCTTCTCGCCAAAGGCATGGCTTCTCATGGGGCATTCAGCAGGCTAATACGGACATGTCTTCCCAATCAGAGCAGACGCATGAGGAGTTGGTGGTTCAGGGTTTGTAACCTACAAACTAAACCCTACACCCCCAAGCCCTTGCAAACCACAAACCCTTAAACCTAAACTAAACCCTAAACCCTAAAACCTTATAAACTCTAACCCCTTAACCCTAAACCCTACACCCTAAACCCTGAACTCCCAACCCTTAACCCTTAACTGTAGGCTCCGAGGTCTCGGAGACATGGGGAGCTGGAGTTAGGGGGGTTCGGGATGGGGTTTTAGGGTTTAGGATTCAGCGTAGGGTTTAGGGTTTCGGGTTCAGGGTTTCGGGTTCAGGGTTTCGGGTTTAGGGTTTCGGGTTTATGGTTTAGGGCTCAGTTTAGGGTTAAGGGTTTCGAGGTGGCACCCTCGAACCATGCGGGGCACCTACTGTATGTGCGGCGGACAGACGTAAGATCAACAAGACGCATCCATGTGCCCATATGGCCCTCGTCACTGCAGACATTCACTGCAGCCGCTGCGGATGCGTGCCGCGACTGCATGCATGCCAGGCATGTGCTTGAGGATTTGACCCACCGGTTGCCTTCCCTCGCCATGAAGAAGCTGGGGAAGCCACAGGAGCAATGGCGCAACAAGCTGGACACTGATATAAGGGTTCCTTTAAGGTTTGTATAGGGGCTTATAGGGTTTAGGGTTTACGGGTTTTAGGGTTTGAGGGTCCTTAACAATGCGCTCAGACATTTTATGGAGTTCAACAAGGGAGTACGCCCTGCTTTTGCGCGATAGTGACTTGCATGTCAGGCGTTGATTCAAACCTCTAAACCCTAAACCCTAAAGCGAGCATGAGGTAAGGTGGTGAGTTGAGGAATATGACAAGAGCTGTTGAGCTAGTGCGACTATGGCCGACAACGGGCAAAGGAAGCAGTAAGTAAAGCAACCCTAAACCCTAATCCCTAAACCCTAAACCCGCCAAGCTCTAAACTCTAAACCCCCAAAACCCTGAACCCTTATTAGCAAGGGGCTACTCAGGATACAGGGCTGCGCATGAAAGTCCTTAAACATTGAAGAAGGCATCGGCCGGCACGGATGTGCTCGCTGTGGTTGATGCCGCCGCTCTGCCGTGAAGAGGATTCATGGCCCAGGGCTTTTGGGTTTAGGGGTTTAGGGTTTAGGGTTTCTGGGGTTTAGGGTTTAGGGTTTAGGGGGTTTAGGGTTTAGGGTTTAGGGGTTTAGGGTTTAGGGCTTTTGGGGTTTAGGGTTTAGGGTTTAGGGGTTTAGGGTTTAGGGTTTAGGGTGTGAGTGTGTTAAGGTCAGGGGGTCCTGGGGTTTTGGGGCGGGGATGGAGAGAAAGTCAAGTTTTGATAGGAAGGATTCAGGAGGGAACAGATGAACTCAATCTTGTGGCGTTCAGGGAATTGTTTGGTGCCAGAAACTCAAGGAACTTGATATGAACCCACAACTTGTTGGCTCTTTCTTAGGAAGACCCCTAACTGAGGTACACCTGGTTTGCAGAAGCCATCACCAAGACCCCAAAATAGAGACTGGTTCGGAAATCCATCGGCCGACATACCCCCCCCCCCCCCCAGTATCCGGACAAGGATTTAGGGTTTAGGGTGTAGGGCGAGGAATTTATGTGTAGGGTTCATTGTTTCCCAAAGGCTCCATGTACCCATATAGTAGGTACTTAGGCCTTAAAGGGGTCCCTATATAGGTACTTTAGGGCCTAAGTACCTACTATTTTTGCACATGGAGCCTTAGGGAACCCTAAACCCTAAATCCTAAACCCCTAACCCCTAATCCCTAAACCCCTAAACCCTGAACCTAAATCCCTAAATCCCTAAACCCCAAACCCTAAACCTTGAGATGGAGCCTTTGAGTTTGCACCCATGCTTGCCTTTGTGGGTTGATTCTGCAGCAGCTCGTGGGGCTGCGCTCGTGGATATCTTTCCTTCAGCTCGTTGGCAAAATCCGGAAATCGTAAACCCTTCCCTAGGGGCACTTAGAAAAAATAATTTCGGGTTAGTATAATCCCTACGAAACAGCTAAAATTATAATTTTTGCTAGGGTTCTAAGTTCAGTATAGTTCCCCCGAGACCTTGAACCCAATACTATTGCAGCCCCAGCTGTTGCTTGGAATGCCATGTTGTGTTTGTACTCATTGTCGTCAAATTTACCCCATCCCCTCCCTCCAGTCGTTGTAGGCATAGTAATGATGTAATATAGCGGAGTTAATGATTCGCATGGGGTTTGGGGTCATTGTTGCTAAAACAACAAGCAGGAACCCTAAGTAAACCCTGAACCCGAAACCTTATTTGGTCATTATTCCAGCTTCTGCATCAGCCCACGGAGACGTTGGCAGTGGCTGGCTCCGATCCATACTTAGCCCCTGGTGAAGCAGACAGCACCTGTGGAACACCCCTGTTCAACTTCACCAGCCCTACACAACGGACAAGCCGACGGCCTGGTTGGTGAGCTCGGCTTGCAAATGGGATTCCAAGCTTCGATGCCTTTTTGAAGACTGTGTGCACCTGTCAGGGCCTTTACGTTGATGAAGATCCTGATCATCTGCACGTCCGGAAGATGCCTTTTTGAAGACTGTGTGCACCTGTCAGGGCCTTTACGTTGATGAAGATCCTGATCATCTGCACGTCCGGAAGGTGTCCTGGGAACGTCGTTTCCTACATGCGCTTCTGGATCAGTGAGCTTGCAGGGATCTCTGATTCAGGTCTTCCTTGGGTGAGGGGTTTAGGGTTTAGGGGTTTCCTACTGCATGCCCTCCTTGGTGTAAGGTAACCCAGATAAAATCCTCATGGGCCCCTTGCAAGAGCCGCAGACCCTAAACCCTATACCTTGCCTAGGCCCTTCAACTACCCTTAGTATGCCTCAAACACCCGCAATCAAGGACCATGCGGGCTCCATTAAAGGGCCCTTTTGGGGGGTGTTGGTTGCAGCGGAAAACAGTCCCATAAACCCTCAAACAACCCCTTTCAGGGTTTAGGGCTTAGGGTTTGAAGGTTTAAGGGTTCAGGGTTTAGGATTTAGGGTTTCAGGGTTCAGGGTTGAGGATTTTTCAGGGTTTAGGGTTTGGGAACCAACCCTCAAAACTCATAAAACACTGAACTGAGACGGCTTGGAGGCCCTGTTGACTTAGTAAGTCTACTTAGTATCCCCTAGAAACCCAATTATAATCCCCATAACCCACCTTACTAACCCTACTTACTAAGTCAAAAGGGCCTCCAAGTGTGAGTGTCGGATCCCAGGCCGCATCGGTTTTTGCTGCAGCGGAGGCGCTGCGGCAGAAATATCTGACGCTCGGCTGGTGGGGTATACTTAGAGGATCATGGGACTTAGTAAGTGGGTTATAATTGGGGTTATAAGTCCCCTAAGTGGGGTTATCCTAATTATAACCTACTTCTAACCTTACTTACTAAGTCCCATGAACCTTTAAGTAGGGTTTAGGGTTTAGAGGTGCAGGTCAAGTACCCAAGTAGTAGGTTTGGGGGTCCGGGTTCAGGGGTCAGGGTGTTTGCAGGATTCAATTCAGCAATGAGCTACTATTTGCTTAAGAACCCCCAAAAAATAAAAAAAAATATTCCTTATGGGTGTAATATAGGGATTATTATGTTTTTATTTTTGGGGGGTTTCTTAAGCAAATAGTAGAGAGACTTCGCTACTGACTCAGTATTACTGACCCTACCGATCCATGCCCATCTGGTACATACTTTGGCTATCTTTGGCTCTAAAGTTGTTTATATGGGGAGTAGTTTACGCTGTACGACCAAAGTTTATGCTATATGGGTAGTTCTCTTTCAGGTCCCCAAAACATTACGGCATCCTTATACAAAGGACCCTAAAGGGGACCTTAGTTTCGTGAACTTCCCATATGAAAGTTTCCAAAAATAGGGGACCCTAATATAGGGTTTAGGGTTTAGGGTTTATAGGGTTTATGGTTCAGGGTTTAGGGTTTAGGGTTAAGGGTTTAGGGTACCCTAAATAGTAGGATTCTTATCATATGGACCCCATAATAAGGTACCCTGAAGTTTCGTGAAATTCCCATACAGGTACATCGAGCTTTTGGGTGATATGTTTTTCGCAGCCGAAGAGCTTGGCGGGTCTTGGTGTTTAGGGTTTAAGAACTTAGGGTTTAGGGGCTCAGGGTTTAGGGTTTAGGGGTATTTAGGGTTTAGGGGTATAGGGTTTAGGGTTTGTGGGTTTAGGGTTTAGGGTTTAAGAGCTTCGGGTTTAGGGGCTTAGAGTTGAGGGAGCAGCATACGATCCTGCCGCCCCTGAAACCTTGATCACAATACAAGCCCGACCCCCAATTTCTGAACCCTAAACCCCTGATCCCTTAAACCCCTGACCCCTAGACCCTAAAGGACTCTAAAGTGTTGAACACTTTGGGGGGCGTTTAACCTCATTCAGAAGCTACCAACCTTCAGGAATTGCTTTGTTTCTTCTACAGGGGGTATGGGATGGGAAAGCTATCTACGGAGGACGGTGGGACACTAGTACGAATGATGCAGACGCGAACATTAAACGCTCAGAAAGCCGTAAAGGACTCTTGTAGATGCCATCCAATATCAAAGAACCCTGCTTATTAGCGATTAGACCCTGAACGACGGAGCCTATAGTGTGCTGTGCTACATAGCTTCATTGAAAAACAGAACCAGCTTTCCTGTTTAAGATTTCGTTCCACATTTCCGTAAAAGAGATAGGCTTGTTGTGGTTAACGGCCTTGCACTGACAAAATCGGTGAGGCTTCGGATCCTCCCAGAACGAAGTCCATGTAAACACTGTTGAACCCAATGCTGCTGGCCCTATTGCATGGGCTTTCATCAATCGACCAGGGTCTTGTACGATTGCTTAGGTCCAAGTACCCTGCCCGAGATCGTAAACACTGACACTATAAGGGCTTTAACAATTAGAATATGGTTTTGGCGCCCCTCTACTAGACTTATAGTAAGGAACCTCCAGAATATATGTCGCAGCTCTAGATCAGGGTAATATAGGGGCCTTTTATAATTCGGAAAACAGGGTTCCTTTAAAAAGGGATCTATAAGGGTTACTACAAGGGATCTATAAAGGTACTACAGAGTAGGGGCCTTAATAATTACCTCGACGCCCTGAAACCATGCCCCTAGACAAGCCCTGACCCTAAGGGTTCAATGACCTGGTAAATATAAGGGTGGTTGTCAAAATTCTGGTCCTTTTTGGGTGCCTGTTATAATGCGGCACCTAATATCTAGGGTACCCAAAAAGGGACTCTTATTTTGACAACCACCCATATACTCTCTTAAATGTTTACGATTAACTACTATCCAAACTCCAAGTCCCTCATAATTAAGTCTTTCGGACCCTAAGCCCTAAAGCCCTAAACCCCAAACGCCCTAAACCCTAAACCCCCAAAACCCTAAACGCCCTCAAAAGTAAGCCGCAGAGTATCAGGAATGGTGCCGTGGAGGCGAACCCCCACTGGCCCGGTGCACGCGTCGGCGTCGCCGCAAAGCAGGCCCGGGGTCGCTACTTGAAGGGCTCCTTCAAGGGATCCCTAGAGGGTTCCTTAAAAAAGGATCTATAGGGTTTAGGGTCTACTTAGAGTTAGGGGGCCAAAAAGCACATAAGCATATGATTTCATGGGAATCTCCCTACCTTAGTGGGCTTCATTATAAGGGGTTTATATGGGATATCCTTGTCCTGAATTTTGCTTATGTGCTTTTTTGGGACACTATCAAGGGGTCCTTTAAAGGGATCTACAGGGTTTAGGGTTTAGGGTCTACTTAGAGGGCTCCTTAACTAGGGTTCCTTTAAAGGGGGTCTATAAGGGTTCTATAAGGGGGATTTAGGGTCTTATGGGACTTAGTAACTAGGGCTATTATTAAGAAGGTAACTACACGTATAGAGGGCTCCAAAAAGGGATCTAGAGGGTTCCTTAAACGGACCTATAGAGTTTAGGATTCAGGGTCTACTTAGAGGATCGTAGGACTTAGGAACTAGGGTTATAATTAAGGTAATCCTATGCAAAATCCTCATTTTGGTCGGGTGAGAGTCCCGCGTGGAAAATCAGCAGTCTGACCAAGTCCATGCTGGGGCGAGGACTCCTGCATGAGCATGGACATGATGTGTCCAGTCTTGATGCATTGTGCTTTCTAGCAGGTTGTTCACTTGTCAGGATTTGATCTGCGAGAAATGATCACAGCCCGAGATACCTTTATGGTCAAGGGCAGCCTGCGATTCGGAGATGGGCAGGCCACTGGTCTGGCAGCCAAGTGGGCACGACTTGTAATAAGTTTGATCTTGGGATTTAATAACTAGGGTTATAAGTACCCTAAGTGGGGATATAAGTAGTTATAAGTATATAGTTACCTTATAAATATAACCCTAGTTAGTAAGTCCCATAATCCTCTACTTTCATGTTTGGCACAAGGGGTTGCAATCCAGTGTCAGTCCATCATTGGTAACTAGTACTTGTTGATCCCACACGCACGGCAGTCTTATAATCCAGTTGAACGGCAGTGCCTCAACGTATGTGCACGGCAGTTTGGTTTTAAGCTTGCACGGCAATGCTTGCCGTGCGCCTGGGTGGTGGGCTGCCGTGCGAGTGGGTTTGGGCCTTGCCGCGCGAGCGGATTTTTAAAGCTGCCCCTGAGCAGTGCGGTGTATATCTGGGAGCCCAGCTTCTACCCATGGATGTCGGGGGCCGAGTGGCACGGCGACTCTCAGTGGCCGTGCACGGCCACTGACAGTTGCCGTGCAGCTGGCCTGGCTTGAGCCGTAGTCTAGGTTAACGGTTTAGGGTTTCGGTTTCAGGGCTTTGGTTCAGGGTTTAGGGTTAGGGTTGTAGGTTTGGAGAGTGACTGTGTATGCGGGATTTCGGTGTTGAGGTGAAGCCCACCAAGTGGTGGCAGTGGCCGTGCCACTTGCTGGGCTTCGCCTCAACACCCAAATCCCGCACACATAGTCACTCTCCAAACCTACAACCCTCACCCGGAAACCGAAACCCTAAACCATCAACCTAGACTAGAGCTCAAGCCAGGCCAAAAGCATGGCAACTGTCAGTGGCCGTGCCACTTGGTGGGCCTTTCCTCAACACGGAAATCCCGCATACACAGTCACTCTTCAAACCTACAACCATAACCCTAAACCCAGAACCAAAGCCCTGAAACCGAAACCCTAAACCATTAACCTAGACTACAGCTCAAGCCAGGCCAGCTGCACGGCAACTGTCAGTGGCCGTGCACGGCCACTGAGAGTTGCCGTGCCACTCGGCCCCCGACACCCATCCACTAGACGGCAAGGCCCAAACCCACTCGCACGGCAGCCCACCACCCAGGCGCACGGCAAGCATTGCCGTGCAAGCCTAAAACCAAACTGCCGTGCACATAAGTTGAAGCACTGCCGTGCAACTGGATTATAAGACTGCCGTGCGTGTGGGATCAGCAAGTACTAGCTACACTTATAATCACTTATATCCCCACTTAAGGTACTTCTAACCATACTTACTAAGTCCCATGATCCTCCTTTATGTATCTCTTATAGATCCCCTTAAGGATCCCTTTGAGGAACCTTTTAAGGGACCATACTTACTAAGTCCCATGATCCTCCAAGTAGCGTTCAGATTCCAAGGTTGAGGCACGAGGGTATCGATTCAGGATGGTTCCGGATGTTTAGGATCGGGTTTAGTGTTTAGGGGTTCAGGGTTTAGGGGTTTAGGGTGTAGGGGTTCAGGGTTTAGGGGTTTAGGGGTTTAGGGTGTAGGGGTTCAGGGTTTAGGGGTTTAGGGGTTTAGGATTTAGGGGTGTAGGGTTTAGGGTTGAGGGTTTAGGGTTTAGGGTTTAGGAAAGACTGCCTGGTGGACTATGGGACATGCAAAGCCTCCCGGACCTTCGAGTAAAGGGGTTCAGGAAACAATCACCCTAAACCCTAAATCCTCAACCCTAAACCTTAAACCCTAAACCCCAAACCCCCTAGACCCCCAGACCCCTAAACCCCTAAACCCTAAATCCCTAAACCCCTAAACCCTAAACCCCTAAACCCTAAATCCCTAAACCCCTAAACCCTAAACCCCCGAAACCCCGAAACCCCTAAACCTCTAAACCCCTAAACCCTAAGCCGTGGCTTTGAAAGACGACGGGTTCAGCATCTTCGGGTTGCACGCTTGAAAGTGGTAATGTTTGAACTATAAGGGTTCCTTTTTAGAGGGTTCTATAAGGGCTCCTTTAAAGGGTGCTATAAGGGTACCATAAGGGTTTAGGGTTTAGGGTTTAGAGGGTTCTATAAGGGCTCCTTTAAAGGGTGCTATAAGGGTACCATAAGGGTTTAGGGTTTAGGGCTTAGGGTTTAGAGGGTTCTATAAGGGCTCCTTTAAAGGGTACTATAAGGGTTTTGGGCGGGGGATCATGTTTCAGTCTTCAGCTATATCCTAAACCGTAAACCCCTCAACTCCCAAACCCTGAAGCCCTCAACCCCGAGCGCCCTGAATGCTAAACCCTAAACCCTGAACCCTAAATCCTACACCCTGAGACCCTTGAAACCCCGAGCCCCAAAACCTTAGAGCCCTTTAGGTCTTGAGCCGGCTTCCTGGCCTCTAGTGGCCTTTAGCATTTAGGGTTTAGGGATTGCAGGGTTTAGGGTTTAGGGCTTTGCGTGTTTAGGGCTTAGGGTTCGAGGGTTTAGGGCTCTGGGGGCTAGGGTTTAGGGTGGTATCTGCTCGATTCCGTCGAGGGGTAAGGCAGGATTCCGTCAAGGGATGAGGGATCTTCAGTCTGATTCCCACAAGGTTTAGGGTTTAGGGGTTTAGGGGCTTAGGGTGTAGGGGCTTAGGGGTTCAGGGGTTTAGGGTTTAGGGGTTTAGGGTTTAGGGGTTTAGGTTTTAGGTTTCCCATGGGGTCGTGTAGGGTTCTTGTTAGGCCAGTCTGACCCTTTCATGTGGGTGGTTGTCAACATTATGGTCCCTTTTGGGGTCCCTGTTATGATACGGCACCTAATATTTCGGGTACCCCAAAAGGAACCCTAATTTTGACAACTACCCATGTGCGGACTCGAACCGAAGCCCAATTTCGGTTTCGGGGGGTCGAGGCGGTTTATGTGTGGGGCCGAAGAGCCATAGGCATCAAGCTATTGAGACTCAGCTTCTTGTTGGGCCTACGGTTTAGGGTTTAGGGTTTGCTTACCAAGTTTAAGTTAAGATGCATTTCTTCTGGCTGATCTTCGTGCAAAAGGCCGCACTACCTTTCAAGCATTCATTCCCCAACGTTGCGCAGGTCGCCCAGGCAAGCCGTATTCACAAGGCGACCCTGGGTTCGGGGTTCAGGGTTCAGGCACGGTTCAGGGTTCAGGTGTAGTCTACCCTAAGGCTCATAAGGGGGTCATGGGCTTTCTGGGGGAGGGTTTAGGCTTTGGGGGCTACGGTTTGGGATCTCACTACGAGGGTCCAGGAGCCTTAAGGTAGACAATAAAACCCTAAACCCTAAACTATATTACTAGAAACTGGAATAGATTTCTTGTTTGAGCGAGGAGTCAAGAACGGAATCGCTTGTTCATATTGGTTCGGATCCCAGCAGGGATGATCCCAGGATACTTTAAGAATCTGGCGACTTAGCACGAAAGTTCCAAAACAAGTGTTTGAAGTTATGTGTATATATATATATATATATAAATTTATTTATTTATTTTTTGTAATTGTGTATAAAACTATATATATATATATGTATATACAGTTATTCTGCATACGCACCCCACTTGACAAGTTGGTTGCAGGTTACGCTGTCGTGCTTAATCCACTGATTACGGATTCCACTTATTCTGCCCATCTTACCGCACACCTCTACGGCTTCGTCCCCAGACCCTTAAATTAATCCCTAAACCTGCGCACCTTATTACTCCAACTCGGCTGGGACATGCGTTCTGATGCCAGAAACATCTACATACATATATGTATGAATCTGCTGTGCATGTACGCATACATACACAAGCACACACACACACACACACGGACACGCATATGTTCGTACATCCGCACATACATACTCTACACACACCCATGCATGCTTGCACATGCACATGCACATATACACATACACATGCATATGTATACGAACAGAATACATCCAACCCCAATGGAGGCATAGTATACAAACACAAGAACACATTATACTCCTAGTACATGAACTTAGTCAGTTGAAGACTGTCAGGGGTCGAGGTGCCCTAAGAGTACACACCTGGGCCCAAAGCACATACACAGGGACTACCCCCAAGGCCAAAGCATACAGTATTTGGGCACATGGACCCTAATCTAATTTATATAGTACTTGGGTACATGGACCGTAATCCAGGGGTTTGGTTACACCTACTCGAATCACTCCACAGGAGGTGCTCCTTTCCCTCTACGGTTTGCGGACGGGTGCCGTCGACTTGCAGAATGTCGAGAGCTCAGCTCATGAGGTGCCCTAAACTCCTAAACTCTAAACCCTAAACCGGTTCAGGGTGTGGGCTAGGCCCCTGCACACGGGGTTCAGGATTTCGATTTCTGGGCTCAGGATTTAGCGCCAATAATAGCCGATTCTTTGAGAGTAGCCGTACCTGCTAGTCTATATATATATATATATATACATACCCTGAACTAGTATAACCTACTCTCATATAGGTTCTTATTATAAGCCCAAGTATGGAATGTAGAGGGACCCTACCAAAAGGTGGGTTTTGGTAGTTTACAAGCCTACGGTTTGAGGCGTGACGCGCTTTGCCCAACTTTAAAGCAAACCAAACAGACGATACGAGGTCTCAGGAATCCGCGTTTTGGAGTTTGCAAGAGCCCCTAAACCCTAAACCCTAAAACCCTAAACCATAAACCTAAACCCTAAACCCTAAAACTGAAGACCGGCCCCATTACATCGACAGGGGCCGGTCGCAGCAGACGGCCGGAAGGCGTCTGCGGACCGGTAGGCGAAGGCCGGAAGGCGAGCCGAAGGTCCTGGACCAGCAGGTCCACGCGGCAATCGAAAAGGCCGCTGCCATTAATCGTTATAATGATAGCCCTAAACCCAAGGCCCTTTGCACCGAGGGCCCTTGCCATCCTTTCCAAATTAAGGACCCGCCTCTAAAATTAAGGGTTTGGCACCGAAAATTAAGGACAAGGCTGAAAGGTTGTGGAGCCAAAATTCAGGACCCGGCTTTAAAATTAAGGGTTTGGTCTGAAATTAAAGGTTTGGGACCGAAAATTAAGGGTTCGGAGCAAAACATTTAGGACCAAGCTCTAAACTTAAGGGTTTCGGACTTAAAATTAAGGATCCAGCTCTTAAATTTAATGATTTACGACAGAAGACTACAGACCCTGCGCTTTTCTTAAGGATTCCGAACTGAAGCCCACCACAGCGTTGTGTCCTTGCCATAAGCCGCCAGTGCCGGAGCCATTGCTGTGACGGGCCGCGAGGGGATTTTGCCAAGGCAGTCGGGAGGACCCCTGCTAGAGCACCCAGCACCCACCAGAGCAGTCTTTGAAGGCCCCACCAAGGCCCCTCACAGCACGTTGCGCTGACAGGGAGCCCCGACCGTCGCAGTCATTGCTGTGATGGGCCCGGGCCCCTCCGCATAAGGGCACTTCGTCGTGCTTCTCAGTGAAGGACCAACCGGCCCCGGGTGATGTGCCTGGGCCCCTCCGAACTTCCAAGTTCACGGACAGGAACCCGCAGCCTTGGCTTTCCTGCACCCAGGCAAAAATGCTTCGTCGTCCTTCTCTGTGAAGGACCAGCCAAGGCAGTGGGGAGCACCCCGCCAGAGCACCCCACCTAGCAGAGCAGTCTTTGAAGGCCCCCCAAGGCCCCTCACAGCACGTTGCGCTGGTAGGGAGCCACGACCGCCGCAGTCATTGCTGTGATGGGGCCGGGCCCCTCCGCATCAGGGTGTGAAGGACCAATGCTTCGTCGTCCTTCTCTGTGAAGGACCAGCCCCCAGCCCCTCCAAGGCACTCTGGAGCAGCCCGCCACCCAGGCAGGGACGCTTCGTCGTCCTTCTCTCTGAAGGACCAGCCAAGGCAGTCGGGAGCACCCCGCCAGAGCACCCAGCACCCACAAGGCCCATCACAGCACGTTGCGCTGGCAGGGAGCCACAACCGCCGCAGTCATTGCTGTGATGGGCCCGGGCCCCTCTGCATAAGCGCGCTTCGCCGTCCTTCTGCTGAGGTCATGTGCCTGGGCCCAATTTGAGCCCATACCTTATCTTTGCCTTCTTAATGAAGGAGGACCCCACTGTCCGTATGGACGGCCGGTTCGGGCGGCACGGCACTCCCCTATCTTTGCTTTCTAATGAAGGAGGACCCCAACGGACAGGAACCCGAAGCCTTGGCCTCCCCATCCAGGCAGGGATGCTTCGTCGTCCTTCTCTGTGAAGGACCAGCCCCTCCAAGGCTCTCTGGAGCAACCCGCCACCCAAGCAGGGATGCTTCGTCGTCCTTCTCTCTGAAGGACCAGCCAAGGCAGTCGGGAGCACCCCACCAAAACACCCAGCACCCACAAGGCCCCTCACAGCACGTTGCGCTGGCAGGGAGCCACAACCGTCGCAGTCATTGCTGTGATGGGCCCGGGCCTCTCTGCATAAGGGCGCTTCGTCGTCCTTCTCAGTGAAGGACCAACCGGCCCAGGTGATGTGCCTGGGCCCAATTTGAGCCCATACCTTATCTTTGCCTTCTTAATGAAGGAGGACCCCACTGTCCGTACGGACGGCCGGTTCGGGCGGCACGGCGCTCCCCTATCTTTGCCTTCTTAATGAAGGAGGACCCCAACGGACAGGAACCCGAAGCCTTGGCCTTCCCGGCCCCACCCAGGCAGGGATGCTTTGTCGTCCTTCTCTGTGAAGGATTAGCTTGAGCCCATACCTTATCTTTGCCTTCTTAATGAAGGAGGACCCCACTGTCCGTATGGACGGCCGGTTCGGGCGGCACGGCGATCCCCTATCTTTGCCTTCTTAATGAAGGAGGACCCCAACGGACAGGAACCCGAAGCCTTGGCCTCCCCATCCAGGCAGGGATGCCCGCCACCCAGGCAGGGACGCTTCGTCGTCCTTCTGTCTGAAGGACCAGCCAAGGCAGTCGGGAGCACCCCCGCCAGAGCACCCAGCACCCACAAGGCCCCTCACAGCACGTTGCGCTGGCAGGGAGCCACAACCGTTGCTGTGATGGGCCCGGGCCCCTCTGCATAAGGGCGCTTCGTCGTCCTTCTCAGTGAAGGACCAACCGGCCCAGGTGATGTGCCTGGGCCCAATTTGAGCCCATACCTTATCTTTGCCTTCTTAATGAAGGAGGACCCCACTGTCCGTACGGACGGCCGGTTCGGGCGGCACGGCGCTCCCCTATCTTTGCCTTCTTAATGAAGGAGGACCCTTGGCCTTCCCGGCCCCACCCAGGCAGGGATGCTTTGTCGTCCTTCTCTGTGAAGGATTAGCCCCTCCAAGGCACTCTGGAGCAGCCCCGGGCCGCTCGGGAGCACCCCCGCCAGAGCACCCAGCCCCCCAATCAGAGGAGGGCCTTCGTCTCATGAAAGGGCCCCCCCTGACAAGGCATCTCTACCAGGTCCCCACCAAGGCCCGCCACAGCCCCGTCCTTCTAGGAGCAGCCAGGTCCCTCATCTTTCCCGTTTTAATGACGGCGATCCTACCATTGGACACCCTCCGTAATGAGCCTTCCCTCTCACTGCGTTCTCTGTCTGTCTCTTTCTCTCTTCCCTCTTTTTCTCTTTCTCTCTCTCTCTCTCTCACTCTCTCCTCTCGCTCTCTCTCTTTCTCTCTTGCTTCCTTTGTGTTGGCTCGTGCAATGGTTTGGCATTGCTTCTGCGTCTCGATCACCGCAGCTTTTCTAAGCACGACTCCCTATACACAGCTCTGGCACTGTTAGCCCGTCTCCATGGCGCAGCCCGTGGACGCCGCCGCCGATGCTGGCGCCGCGGCCTCTTTCTTGGCCGCGCCTGGCGTCTTGTTGCCGCACATGCGACTGGCTCCAGCCGATGAGGCACAGCTTCCTGTTGCGGGCCCCTGCCGGTGGGACGGCCCTCCTCTTCTCTGTCCGCCAGATGGCTTGTGCTTCCTGTACGCGTGGCTAGCCAGCTTGGAGCCGCAAGCTTGGCACGAAATCGTCAAGGACGCGAACGGCTTCATATGTGACGTGAAGGAAGAGCAGGTCTGGAGGGGCAAGGCCGAGCGGCTCCTGGAGGACGTCCTCGCCGAGATGGTCAAGGACGGGAAGATGGACATGGCAGAACGTCTTCGTCGAGGCGGACATCCTGGAGACGAGGAGTTCGCCTTCTATGCCCGTGTCTTGGGGGGTGCTTTTCTCATCACTCCGCAAGGGGAGTCGCAGGGCTTCCGGGCCATTCACGGGACCGGGCCGGTTTGCTGCGAAATGAGCTTCCAGTATGTGCGAGATGGAGCTGGCCATGCCTCCGGGCACTACGTTCTTCTTCGCAGTTGGAACCCGACCCAAGCCACGTCCCCCAGTGAGAAATCTGCTCGAGCTCCTGCGCAACAGCATGTTTCCTTGACCGACTCCGATGCGGGGGAAGAGGCGGAGGAAGAACAAGCCACTTCCGACTGGACAGTCACCAAGCTCGACGACAGCCCGCTCTTCGACCTGGACGACGACGAGTCCGACGCCACGGATGCCCCAGCCGCGCCCGCCTCGACCGCCGCCGGGGCTACTGGCGCGGCAGCCTCAGCCGCGACGACAGCAGCGGCCGCCAAGGGCGCTGCCGATGGCTCGTGTCGGGTGCCCACGCCGGGGCTGAAGCGGGCACTCACCATACAGCGCCCATGGCTGGACAAGATTTTGGCAGGGGAGAAATCTTGGGAAATGCGGAGTTTCACGGCCATGCACCCGCAACGTGTCGGCGTCCGCGCATCCGGCGCCAAGTTCTTGATCGGGGAGATTACCATTCAGGCCTGTTGGGGACCTTGGTTACCCGAGCAGTACGAGTCACTCCAGCAAGAACACTGTGACAAGCATGGCATCACGGACGCGGCCTTCTTCCGTCGTTGGCGGCAGATGTATGCCTGGGAGATCACCAACCCAGTGAGGTACGAGAAGGCCGTGCCGCTAGCCGTTTCGACTGGCCCCGTCACCTGGATTCGGCTGCCTTCTCCCCTGGCTCCGTCAGCGCCACTCCGCTGCAGCGCGCGCAAGCGAACCCGAAGCACCGCGCAGCTTTGTCCAGGCTACGGCGGCGATGCCTGCCGCTTCAGCCCGACGCGGCCGGGGACCCCGGCTCGACGTTCCAGCGGCCACGGCGGATGCGTCTTCTGCGAAAAGTGGGCGCTGAGGTGGGCTCTCTTGACGTCGCGCGGCCGCGGCGCCGTCACCCGCTCTCTGAAGGCCTTGCGCGTGCACGTCTTCGCAGGGGCATATCTTTTCGGCGGCCTTGGCGCGCGTCCGGGCTTGG